CCACAGTCACATACTATTATTGTTATACATTTATATTGCACATTTTGAAGAGCTCCATTAGTGAACTAAAGTATGCATTGATATACAGTTTTTGCATTAAGTTCTATTTTGAGGTGATTATTGTACACACTTGTTACTATGACAGCATCTTATTCAATGCATTATTTTTAAGTTGGTGAACAGGCTGTCAGTTGAACATGTGTGCACCCGGTACTATAAAAAGACACAAATTAGGCCTTAGAAAATGGCTCCTCAGAGCTGAATAGGGCTCATTGTTATGTAAGGGTATTAAGACGAATGAAGCCCTTTGTAAGTGGTAAGCTTTGCAGGGAAGGAGACATATCCACTTGGGCCAACTATTAAAGACCCAAGATGAAGACATTTCAGAGGATCCACACATTGTGCAGACTGAAGGGATGAACTCCAGTCTTCCCTTCAGTCTTGCACAGTTGTACCGGCTCCTCTCCTGTACTGAAATTACTTACTGTGATTTCACTGCACACTGTGAGCTTCTCACAATGTGCATTAAAAGCTGCAGCAAGTCAGGTAGAGTCCACCTCATTTTATTAACTGGATTTTAGTTTTTACAGTCATGGAGGTCCAACATGTGGGCACATGCGAATGCAGCTTGCCTAGGAAGGCCCACTTCCACTCATCAATATATTCAAATATATGCATAACTCCTCCCAAGAGCCAGCCCACTGCGTGCATCAAGACTGGGGGCCCTTAGGAGGAGTACTGAGGCATGCTACTGTGAGTATACAACTCCCAAAAGTTTGCCAGGACATACCTATTTTCTCATATTGTGAAGATAAAATTGGAGGAATGACCAGACTCCTTCTCTTTATGGCAAACGTAAGGCAGTGAAGCATGTTATTGCTTGTAAGGTGAAGTGGAAACATATTGACTGTGAAATTCTCAGGTCAACCTGCAAGAGTATTGACACTGCAGAGGTTTAATCAGCTGCCCACCAGCTGGGGGATCCCAAATGAGACCAAGTGATGTCCAAATGGGCCTCTTGGGAAGTTGGGGAATGTAATAATACAGGTATGAGCCATTGGCCATTTTTTCAAGTACCCATACATGTTACGCCTTTTGGCTAAGATCAAGTGTAGTATCTGTTCTTATCAGTGTCCAGTGGGGGTGCTCCCGACCACTCTGTCTTTGTGGGGTGGGTTGGATAGTACCCTCACTGGTATGATGGGGGTCCGGAAGGCTAGACCGGAGGGACAGAAACCGGGGAGCGCCATGATTCGTTCTGGGGCCTCGGGAGTAATTCCTCTGGGAAGGCTGGAAAGACCCAGTACCTCCTGATTTGAGCAAGCTACCTTGGTCTGGCCAGGGGCTGGGGACGCAAAAAGTCCGCAAACTCAGTGCCCCCTGGGGAGACGCGCTCAGGGGTGTCACTAGTAACACTTGGGTGTGGGACCCCACGGTGTGAAAATGACACTTGGCCACTGTTTTTACACATCTTTTTGCACAGCGCCCTAAGGACCAGGCCTTTTGGCTAAGTCCAGGGCAATTTTTGCTACGGGCCTCAGGGCCTGGTCTGTGCACAATTCGGCACGGTACCACTTTTTTATTTTTTCTTTCTCTTTATTTATTATGCACTTCCCACGTTTGTCACTTTTTTGTTCTTATGTGTGTGTTTTTCACGGATGGAGGGTGTGGGTCCTCGGGCCTACCCTGAAGTCTAGGGGGAGGATGTGTGGCCATACGGTTCCTTCCTCCCCTGATCCCTAGGGGACTCTTCTTCGGGAGAGTCCCCTTGCCTAGTACTGGATGTCCGGCTTCGGCTGGGCATAAGGAACGGTGGTCCACCAGGCCTTTTGGCCAGGAGGACCAATTGGGAACCTTGTCCCCATCAGGAGCTTCGTGCCCCGGGGGATCAGGGTAAGCGGTCCAAGCCCCTTTAGGGGTAGGACACAGCACACCCCTAAGTGCACTTTTTCGTGTGGTGTTTTGCACTTGCACTTTTTTTGTGAACACTTACGGGGTTTTTTCGTTACAGTTGCACGTTTGCGAGAAAAATAAAAATTTTTACATGTTACAATCTAGTCATAAGGTTCCCTAGTTCATCTGACTACTTAACCCCGTTGTTGGATGATTTCAAAATCAGTGAGAAACCGACAAGATGTGAACCAAATTTCAAACTGGACCGAATAGTGATTGCATACAGATTGAAAGATTCCTATTTTGTTTTGCGCATTTAACATTATACTGCTCGCCTGCTCCTTTTTTAAATGTTTTATGAGTATTGCTAGATATTTTCCTGTTATGTATCCTTGACATTTTGCTGAACCATTTGGTGAGTATATCTAGGATATTTTATTTTTTTATGTTCTATTTTCTATTGATGTATGTTGCACTGATTGTTTCTTACCTTTCTGGGTTTACTTTCAATGCTTTTTAAGTATAGTTTGATATTTCCTTTTCTTCTTGTTATTTTATATCATGTGCACTAGACGTTTACAGCGGCTGTTTTTGGCTTTTGACATTTTTTTCTACAGCCAGTAAACTCCCCAGCATGTTATCCTATGTGTCCATGCACACATAGATTGCAATCAGCGGTTTTTGACAGGGACATTTTTTGGCTGGAAAAAAAAAGCAGAACTAGTGGATTTCTAGAGGAGTTTTTTAGCTGTAATTCTAAATCGCAGCAAACCAGAGTTTTTGGACTTTTTTTTACCCACCCATCCCAAATTTTGTTTTTGGTAAAAATAAACTCTAAAACTCTGACTTGTAAAACAAAAAAAAGATTCCCTGCGCTTAGTGTACAAATGAAAATATATTTCACATATATAGACTTTTTATCGATTGTTGATTGTTTTCATTATTAATTATCATCATATTTTTGCACTATTTTTAGTCAAACTACATTGTCGTTGTATCTACTTTCGTATGAATTGCAGCTTAAAGTGACAGCGCACATATTTAGGTGTGACTTATCAGGGGACTGTCAGAAGTCCACTGCTTCCACACAGAGAGCAAGGGTCCTTCTCTAAACAATGATGGCAGGGACAGGCTTTTATTCTCAGGCTGTAACTGTAATACATTGATTATATTTTGGTTTGATGCACCTAGAATGTCATTAGCAGGTTTACATGAAAAAAGCTGAGTTGGTCTTTAACAGGAAATGGAAATCACATGAGGTACATTGAACAGATGTGAACGCATATTTTCCTATACATAGGCCTAAAGGTACTCACATAAACCAAAGAACTGCAATTAGGAATTCTGCTGTATCCACCACAACCATAGGTGCACACTTCTCTGGGATCATTCCCCAAACAGGCCAATGTAGTATAAACATAGAGCCGAACACTACTACATCCACAAAGTTTAAAAACAACTTGATGGATTGAGGAAGGATGAGGACACTCTACTCACACCTCTACTGAAGAGTTTCGCCCCTTTGCTTTATGATTACTCCTCAGCAGGGGACCAAACACATCAATGAGAGGTGCGGGTGGGGTGTCCTGATTAATGCTAGATCAATAAAGTTGTTTTTAAGCCTTTTTGGAAGTAGCGATGTGTTACTTCATGTTTACACTAAAGCCTCAAAAAGTGCGTCATGTTAAAATGAACAAAACTGGAGGAAAATCAAGTGCACAATTTTATGCTTCCACTTGCATGCTGATTCCCAACCTGGTAGGAAAGTGTGTTTTCTACACTGAAAGAAGACAACACCACAATGGCTTTAGAGAGAGAGAGAGAGGAAAAAAACAGAACTTACTGTGACTTATTTAAGTCAGAGCTTGCGGACTCCAACAGAATATCACAATACGACTTTCATATAGCTGCACACAAAGGGAAAAAATCCATTTTCTCAGTTTCTTTCTAATTCCAGTTTCCATTACAAATCTTTCTGAACCAAATGAAATAAATTTAGATGCCGAGCCAGATGCAGAACGCACAACTTTTGGCACAAAATACTCCATCAAAAGACACTGAAAATGAAATACGTTTCCCCTCGAGGGACACATCTACTGTTTTAATTTAATTTGAAATATCAAATTAAATTAATTCGAATGCCTGTGCCGTTCCTGGGGACGGCAGACCCGGCTTATCATGGGCTGCCACCAAATTGTTTAGCGCTTGTGATAGTTTTCATGCTGTTAACGAAGACCGATGTATTGTGACGAAGGGTGAGCACTTTAATGTGAAATTCATTGTCAGGAAAAGCTTGATAGCAGTAAAAAGAGGGCAATGTGAAGTGTCGCTCACCCAGCGTGAGTCATTTTGACATGCTTACTTTTCTTCTTAAAGGGCAACTTTGTCTGAACAACTACGTAAATACATCAATGAAACACGTACACTATATTGCCAAAAGTATTGGGACGCCTGCCTTTACATGCCCATGAACTTTAATGGCATCCCAGTCTTAGTTCGTAGGGTTCAATATTACGTTGACCCACCCTTTGCAGCTATAACAGCTTCAACTTTTCTGGGAGGGCTGCCCTCAAGGTTTAGGAGCATGTCTATTGGAATATTTGACCATTCTTCCATTCTACCATTTTTGAGGTCAGGCCTGGCTCGCAGTCTCTGCTCTAATTCATCCCAAAGAGTTGAGGTCAGGACTCTGGGCAGGCCAGTTATGTTCCTCCACCCCAAACTCGCTCATCCATGTCTTTATGGACCTTGCTTTGTGCACTGGTGCGCAGTCATGTTGGAACAGGAAGGGGCCATCCCCAAACTCTTCCCACAAGGTTGGGAGCATGAAATTGTCCTAAATGTCTTGGTATGCTGACGCCTTAAGAGTTCCCTTCACTGAAACGAAGGGGCCAAGCCCAACCCCTGAAAAACAACCCCACACTATAATCCCCCCTCCACCAAACTTTACAACAGCTTGGATGCAGCTGCTCAGCCATGGAAACCCATCCATGAAGCTCTCTACACACTGTTGTTGTGCTAATCTGAAGGCCACACAAAGTTTGGAATTCTTTAGTTACTGACTCTGCAGACAATTGGCGACTTCTATGCACTGTGCTCTTCAGCATGTGCTGACCCCACTCTGTCACTTTGCGTGGCCTACTACTTCGTGGCTGAGTTGCTGTTGTTCCCAGTTGCTTCCACTTTATTTTAATACCACTAACAGTTGTCTGTGGAATATTTAGTAGCAAGGAAATGTCACAGATGGACTTATTGCACAGGTGGCAACCTGTCACGGTACCACGCTTGAATTCACTGAGCTCCTGAACGCGAACCATTCTTTCACAAATGTTTGTAGAAGCAGTTTAGGCACCATGCGCCTAGGTACTTGATTTTATACACCTGTGGCCAGGTCCAATGATTTGTAGGGGTGTCCCAATACTTTTGGCAAAATAATGTATATGGGAACAGTACTTCTGAAAGATGTGTAAACTGATGCACATATTCTTGTGATCCCTCCACCCTAAACTCTGCTATAGGACTGTGCAGTATAAGCAGAATGACACTGCTTTTCATAAGCAATTATACACTTTCCCTTTGACTGCCCCGCCTCCTGCCTACTCATTGGACTACTATTGAGCATCAAAACACCCGTGACACCCAGTCTGAGCTCTGTCCTTCCTGTAGACTTGAATAAGTCCTTCCCTCATTTCTCCAATGGCTTACAGAGCAGGCAGTCCCACTGCAGTGATCACATGACATCTAAAAGCAGCCGCTGTGTGTGGTGTGCATGGCCCTGACAGCTTTATCTCTGCTTAGGAATTGGTGTCTAGGGCCCAGTGGGGAGGAGGGGGCAGAACAAAGTGCCTATGGTGTCTGAGAGCCAAAACATACACCTATGCACATAATAACAAGTTTGCTTTTGTTCATTAAACTGCCCTTAACAAGCTTTTGCACTAAACCCAAAAGCAAAAATGTAATGTAAAAAAACATCTGTTGATCCTGCCAGAAATCCTGTGAACTGATAACTTCACATGTTTCCGCGCTTATTAATTATATTGTTCCCAGTTATCTCTGCCAACTACAGAACTACACCCCTTCTATGCTATGTAGAATAGGACAGGAGCAGGGTTTTGTAGTCCTATTCTGTTTCTGTTGTCCTAATACTGTACAGTGAATGTCTCCTTTAGACAGGATACCGTTATGTTACTGGCAGAATCACCAGATTAAAAAAAAAAAGTCCTTAATGCAGCTTCCATATCTTAGGGCATGTAATATGTAATTCATAAAATTTTTGTTTTTGGGTTTACATATGTACATATGCATATACATGAAAAAGTGGACTTGCACTCTTTTTGGCCAACCACATTGCACATGGCAATGGCATCGTTGTACGCTTTAGCACAAGTTTTACGGTATATGAGTGCTGGGGTATCCTTTTGAATGAACCCTGGCTTTAGCATGCCTTACCTTTAAATTCTGAAGTGAGACTGGCCTTTTATCATAATTCAAACTACAGCCTCACTCTTATTTTATGACCGATAACTGCTGGCGGTTTATTATTGTATAAAAGCAAATTCTTTATGCTGGCTGATAATATCATCAGCTCCTCAGCAAAGCAATGTTTGTGGCAGTACAAGATACCGACAGAAGAGCGGTAATATCCTTTATGATCCTCCCAGGGCTAAATGCTGCCGTGCCCAAGAGTCATTCCTCTGTCTATCAACACGGCATGTGTGATACCTGTCTTCCTCAGTCTCCAAAGGCTTTAATGAATGCATTCTCCAGCAGATCCTGCCCCAGTGAAATTTAAAAAATGACTGCTTCCCAACTACCATACCTATATATCCTTGTCGGGAAGGGATGATACCAGGATCATGGCTGCAGCTGCAGCCATGATCCTAGTATCAAAATGTGCAGCCAGTGATTGGTTTTCCTGTGGAAGTGATCCGGGTGGCCCTACAGCCACCTGATCACTTCTATAGAGGGCAGAAGGGCCTCCCCCTCTGCCACCGTTTCCAGGCTCTCCAGTGCGATCAGGGAGCCTGGGATCACAGCATCTTGTGCGGTCGGTTGGATACAGAGGAAGGGAAGGTACATACTTACCCTCACTTCCTTTGTGATGAATAAAACCTGAAGCAAATAGGATTTTGTCACTTCTGGATTTGGTTTGTTGTTTACAATCCTTTACAGGTTTGTAAAGCATCTGGTCAAACCAATTTTGGTTTGACCAGATGCTTTTGATGGCAGAGGAGAAACCCCAGATCTCTCAGTAAAGAGTACCTGTCACTGATATGCAATCACAAGGGATGTTTTTCATCCTTTGTGATAGCAATAAATTCCATAAAAAAAAAAATCTAGGTGTACAGTGTCGAAAAAGTAAATTCAAATAAAATACATAATACATTTTAAAAAAAATGTAAAACACCCCCTCGGTTTGTCGATGTTCTGCAAGCATGCACAATTTTAGTGTGACATGTTAGGTATCTATTTACTCGGCGTAACATAATCTTTTATATTTGACCAAAACATTGGGTATTACTTTGTATTTGTGTTTACTAAATGTGTTCACTTAACTGCTTGCTGTCCGCCCTATAGCAAAAATACTACTACAGGGTGGCAAGGGTGCGCAAAAGCACGTATATATACGTAATTTTGAAGTTTCATGTAGGGGGCGCACGTGAGCTGTGCGTGTTCCCTACCTGTGCTGCCATTCATGGCCTCGGCTGTTAATCACTGGATCCCGGACGATAGCAGCCAGTGATCTCCGAGTATTACCGACTGGGGGAGAGAACTGTATGTAAACAATACAGTTCTCTCCCCTGTTAGCTCCTGCACACTGCTTTGTATGGCTCTGCATAGCAGAACCATACAAAGCAGTGTGCTTACAGTGAGCACACACACAGCACATAATGTGAAAAAGCACACAGTTAACCCTTTTTTCGCCCCACATGTTAACCCCTTCCTGACCAGTGCCATTAGTACAGTGTCAGTGGTTTTTATTAGCACTGCTCATTGTATTGGTGTCACTGGGAATGTCAGTGACACCAAGTCAGTTCCCCCCCAGTGTCAGAATGCCCACAGCAGTCCCGCAGTCACTGATCATCGCCATTACTAGTAACAAAAAAAAATGTACAAATATTGCGATTTTTTTTTTTTTAGCAAAGACATGTAGCAGAAAACATTTTGGCCTAAATTTATGACAAAATTTGACATTTAAAATTTTTTTACTGGACATATTTAAGAGCAAAAAGTCAAAAATATTGTTTTTTTCTCAAAATTGTCGGTCTTTTTTTTATAGTGCAAAAAATAAAATAAAATGCACAGAGGATCAAATACCACCAAAAGAAAGTTCTATTCATGGGGAAAAAGGATGTAAATTTAATTTGGGTGCAGCTTTGCATGACCGCGCAATTGTCAGTTAAAGTAACGTAGCGCACAAAATGGCCTAGTCAGGAAGGGGGGTAAATCCTCTGGAGGGCAAGTGGTTAAGGTGCAGTTTTTCTTGAAAATTTGCATTTGAAAAACTGCTGTGCAAATATTGCGTGATATAAAATTTGCAACAACCACCATATTATTCTCCAGGGCCTTTTCTTTCAGAAAATATATAATGTTTGGGGATTCTCAGTAATTTTCTAGCAAAAACTGCAGGTTTTTACATGTCATATTTGTAGGCAAGTGGTTAAACATTGTATCCTACACACCTTCTCACAGAATCAATAAAAAAAATCTAGGAGTGCCAGTAAATAGAGAGCCATCCCATCTCTCCAACCTTCATGCAAACATGCAACATTTAATGACATGAGCACACCCAGGAAGAGTATCATAATATAAATAAAGCCCAATTATATTAGAGCAGGTATATCAAAGCATATGGGTATCAAGTACATACACCATTGTATATAAAAATATATATTGTGCATCAGGCATGCCTAATGCATACATCAAAATACATCATGAGTACAGACAGGGGCATTATTTATCAAATATAGTAGTTTTGCATAATACTGTTTCTGGGTGTGCTCATTTCGTTATATATTTCTCTTGCTCCAGAGATATTAGCATAAATAAATTAGCAGCACCGGCGCAGCAAGGCCTAGGAGACACAAACCTTCATAAGTCTTTATCGCTTTATCTGCCGCTGTGATGACCATTTGGTGATTTATTTATGGTCCTCTTTTTAATGTTCTCAGCTGGGTAATGAGGAAAGTGGAATATGGAGCCGAGTTCTGGGGCCTCGGGACACCAACAGGGAAGGGGAGACAAGAGAGGGAGATTAGTAGAAGATAGGAGGACGAGGGGCAGAGAGGGCAGTCTTGGCTTTTCGTTTGCTGAGGATATTAAGAGAGACATACAAGAAAGGCAGCATTCTATCATAAGTCATTCCTAGGATTGGTGCATCCTGATCAGACAGAAGAAATTAAAGGGAATGTACTATATGTGCTGCCACTCTCTTCTAGGCAGTGTTGCAAAGAGAATTCTAAGGTTACTGTTTGTATATATTTACTACTACTGTTTTATATATATATATATATGTAAACTTGTTACCTGTCAAAAAGATGGGCAATTACATTGAACCAGTCATCTGCTTCAGACACCCTGTGACCTCATTTTGCTTCACTGTGCTTACAACAGTTCACACAGCAGTGTCACACACTGCACAGCTCATAGCAGAGAGCTGAGTGTAATCTGAGACTTGAGTGGAAGAAATAGACACACACCCCTCTACACAATCCCATAGGAAAACATGCACAGCTGAGGCTTTCAATCACATGCTACATACTCAAACTTCCTTCCTGTCCCCCTTAATCCCTTGAAGTTGGCAAAAAATCAGAAGTGACTCTTGCAGATAGCAGAGGAATGAGGCAACAGACAGAAATTACACTAGGTGCTTTTGGATTGAGGCAAATACACACTATAGAAAGATGTGCTTTTTCATGTTTCATGTTAGAGGTTTACAACCACTTTAAGGCACCGGAATACATACAGTTTGTTAAAGAAACCTCCCTCAAGTGCATTAAAAACCTGCACTTAATAAATTGTTAAAAAAACATATATTGTTACACTAATATCAGATCACATGATCCCGCTAATAAATACTGGAACAGGTTCTTCCAGCACTCAGGAGAAGGATGCAGAGCGCCCCCCCCCCCTCCTATTGCATGACATAGAATAAGTGCCCATTCTTTGCCCCCTTGCTCCAGATGCTCATGGTTGGCATAGTGTGTGCATGGCCAATCACTTGCTTTCTTGTGGCTAGAAAGCAGTTGCTCATGCACAGTGTGTTTTTGTGTCAGCTGTGGGAATATGGGGTGGAGAGCGGTGTGACAGTAGCTGTCAGGGCAGACATGAAACTGGTTGCTAGTCGCTGATCGGTGAGGGGGTGCCCTCCC